TTCAAAGTTTTTACTATTTCATGTTTAAATGTTGAATTCTGCTTAAGCCGGTTGCTAGGGGGCGTGGATGGTAACTTGCACTTTCCAGTACGTCCATGAACAGCTCAATCAAACCGAGCCTGCAACATTTTCAATTTTGACGTGTTGGGCTTTTTTTAGGGATTTTGTTTTTATCTATTTTGTGATAATATGACCATATTAGTTGAATGCATTTAGCAAGTAACTTACTGCAACAGAAAGTGAATTTGTTTTTTGCCACAAGCAAAGCTAGTGCCAAACAAACCAGCATCCGTGCAGTCTGATAGGGCTAAATATAGTTTATTTTAAACATATTTGTTTTAGCCCGATTGCAAAGCAAGTTCTTGAACTTATAATAATGATTTTCGAGTTCGCTTCCTAAACCTAATTAGTACTGGGTGTCATATGAGGAGTCATGCTCGCGACTCGAGTAGTAGGAATCGAACCATGATCCTTTAGTGGAGAGGCAGATACCTAAACCACTAGGCTACCGCTTCGCTGTGGCTGTTATATTGTTGGAAGCGCAATTTTTGTATTTGTTGTAAACATAAACTGTTTCCAAACTCAAATGCAGAGCAAATCAATTTACACTTACATAAACGATTGTTTGTTAAACAAATTTAAAACAATAAAGATGTCATAGTTTTGAGATTTTATACATGTAAACAACATACATGTATACAAAACAATTATCACAATATGATAAAATACACAATCTTAAATTGAAAAGGTAACATGCAAAAAATGCCATAAATATATATGCCATAACGTATATACCTTAGGATTTGCATAAATTTAAACTTACGTAATTTATTATGTATTGAGCTTTTTGGGAATATGAAAGTCCAGAACTCTGGAATAATCCTTAAAATGTCAAGTGTCATTGACGTATTTACGTGCTATCAAAAATGTGTCAAAATGTAATACATTTTTTATCTAATATCAATTATATTTTATGCCATTTCAGTTGCCGTGCGCTTTAAAAATAAAGATTGTAGCCATGTAATTGCTTATTCATTGCACAATATCATTCATCAAAAACATCACATCTTAATACCGAGAAGTTGAATACAAATATAATAAGATTTTTTTTTTTTTTTTTTTTTTTTTTGGGGGGGGTAATATTAATAGATGTTTTCACATAGCAATTTATACCTCCACTGGTCGCTATTTTTGGTGTCATTCCCAAACATCAAATGCTTAACATCAGATGTTACGTTTATGCTTCAATTATTATAAAGAATCCAACAGTACAATATATATGCATATATGCATTTTATCTCAAATTACGGCATACTCGTATAAAGGTTTACAATCGTCAGCAGTGAATATACAGTACATTACTGTTGCATTATTTTATAATAATTGAACCATAAACGTAACATTTAAACAATATAAGCATTTCAAAAATCTTCAGAGCAACAATATTAATATTGATAACAAGTGAAAAAAGAATGCAAGAAAAGAAAAACATAATATACCACTCTTATATGTTAAAGTTTATTTTTTCTAGGAAGATGTAAAATGTACGAATGTGTATTTTGACCATAAATTGTAGCGACAATTCAATCCTTTCTTCCTGGGGGAGGTGCTTTATTTCTGTGTAACATTTTCACTGTACTTATTTTAAGATTTCTTTAAATCATCGCCCTTAAACCAAAACAATGCCTTTCACTACTTGAGTATTTCGGAAATTTAAATTTTCAATTGTTTTCTTATTATATGTCAAGATTTCAAGGATCAAATATTAGTCACTTATTGTTTGCTTATTGATACACATCTATACATGATGTGGTTTAATTGTTGGTCCAATATTTACTTCCTTTATATTAGTTGAGTGTCATCTATAGATGAACTTTCAGTGGATTTAGATATATTGTAATCAAAAATTGTATATGCTCAAATATAAGTTACCGAAAAAAAGATTTACAATTTTAAAGACATATTGATAATCTATTCACATTTAACTTTGATTGCAACTAGTCCTTGATATTTAAATGTTTCATTACAAATTTTAAAATTCTAATCTAAAACTCGCTTATAGTTCCATATGATATTTGCATTCAGTTAATACTGAACATCGGTCTTGTTCAAAGCCGATGTAACTTTTTAAAATGACCCTATTGAATTTTTTGTCTAACCTTAAAAGAATCGCATACTTTTAAAATCATTTTACGTTCGCCATAATGACATTTCCGCTTTACAATACAGTCATGTTACTATAATATTTACTGTTGTAGAATGTTATTATTGCAATGAATGCCCTACGCAAATAAGCTTTTGTATGTCCAGACACTTCGATTTGTCATTGATTGTACAAAAAAGCCATTTGCTAAAAAAAAAGAAAAAGAAAATATCTGAGTTGCACAAAATTAAGGAAAGTTGTACATGTAATGAATACTAACTGTTTCGATCATTACAACGTCGGTCTTGCAAAATACATTAATACACTCTTCTAAGAAATGAAGTAATATATATATAACGCCTCAATAGATATTCCGCTATATCGACCCCGGTTGATGTTGGCTTTTCCCTACCTCCTCATAAAGAGGCCCTATCAGCTTTATATGTATACCATGTGTAATGTAAGCATTCTGAAACTGGAAACGGTTATCTGGTCTGAATTTTAAAAGGCAATGGCTCACGTTTTTATTTAAAAAATAAATAAAAAAAAGATGCAATTGACGGTAAAATATTTCATTTTCTAGGTTGTTAAAAGGCGATTGAAGCATGGAAAAGGATCGCCTTCACTACGTCTAATTACCTTGATGGAAGTGATGTCAACATTTTTATTTTATTTATTTATTTTTGCGAACAATTTGATACTCATATATACCTCCAAAATAAAGCGAAGTGATGAAATGGATAGCCTAATAGTTTTATTACATATTTGAGCATATGAATCGTTAGTTAAATGAAAGAACAAACAAAAGTTGCAGTCGAATGACAAACTCCTAGCCGTTGTCATTTGTAGAAAATGCTTTTAATCTATGTAGAGATCAAATCATTTTATATCCTCCTGCAGACTGAAGCTAGGCTTCGATTATAAAAACTATCCCCGAAAGTTTGAAACAATTATGTCCAATAGTAGTGAAAAAGATTCTGTTAAATTGTTTCACGGACACACGCACGCACGAACAAGTGACGTATTTCTTAGGATAATTATACTGACATTGTTTTTTTGAAAGAGAACTGGCTCTTAATTCGAGACTGGCGGGAAATTCGCCAATGTAGTTAATTGGCTTGCAGGCAGGGCTGCAAGCCATTTCATATGGAAAACTTGTTCCGGTTAGGTGGTTTCCTGCTTACATCTGTTGGTGCATGATTGAACGTGAAACCAGCAGAAATCGTGCCAATCGCAACTTTTCGGCCTTTTCCGTCACTCTTCAGATTAATGATAATAGCCGATGTAGTTCCGATTGCAATCGTGACAATTCGGGCGATTCCGTCATACTGCGGAATCAGACGAAGTAATATTACGGAAATCTAAGCTATTTTAGCTACTTCGGTAATCCAAGTTTGTTTATATAAATAGGATTTCTATTTTTACTTGATTTATCGGTTTAAACCGTAATAAATTATAAACGAAATTGTTCCGTTTCAATTGTTTTTCAAGACGCAAAAGTTAGTTTCTTTTATAATTGTTTTTTGTCTGTATTAGTTTTATACGCTGTATTAGTATTCCGTCTTCAAAGGGTGGTCCTGCTTACCAAATCACGCATGATCGAGTTATATTTAGATCTACTAAATTTCTTGGTGAGGTAATCTAAAAATAGCCCATGCATATCATTAACCTTGCCACGTGCTGATCCAAACTCCTCGCAGCGGTTACTTCCCCTGGTCTGTACAGTTAAAGTAGCAAAGCGTGACGTAACAGCTGTGAGGAGTTTATTTGTGATCGTGTAACATAGTTGATACATGCTTATTAATTGGTACCACGTAACGAAGTATTTTAGTGCATTTACTTGTCTATAAAGCAAAGGAATGATTTCGCTGCGAGAAAGGGGATATGAAATGTGCACACTAATGTCTTGTTTTCCTTCAGTATCACGTTAGTATTTTTACGATTGATCATTTTCTTTATTAGTTTTATACAATAGAGAATAGATTTCAAATCGTTTTGACAAAAAATATTCGGTTTTCCAAAAAAAAAAACCAACTAAATAAACCCTTTATGATATACAAATACCGTAATTAAAAAAAATGTGATAATAAATTGAAACCAAAAAAACACACAATTTTAAAGGGTTGGGATGAAGTCACAACTGTGCAAGCCTTTCCTTTTAAAAGGAAACTTTATTTTTAATATCAATCTTACAAGATCAATCTTACTAAGCTAACTCGAAATTCAAAACATGTTCCATATATTGTTTACTTTTTATTGACAAAAACCTATGTCAGAGTCTGATCGTAGTTCAAAGTTAGCTAGAAATTGAATTTCGACCTACTTATACAGAGCTCAAAACATTTTGGAGGCTGTGAGTTAGCGAAGTACCTCCGTGTAAATACATGAATAATGTATTCCGATAAAAATTTGTGTGTTATATTTTTGTTAAAATATGTTATCTAAATGAGGTTATAACTTACAATAAAAGCAAAAAACGTGACAATATAAATCGTCTATCATACATTGGTTTATAATTTTGAACATCTTATTCGTTTTGCATGCATGCATGCGTACGAACATGCGTGCGTGTGTGCTTATGAACTGAGTGCGATTGAGATCTTTAACAGTGTATAGCCGCAAACAAGCTAAATTCACTAAATTTCGTATTGTCGCGATAAGACAACAAACACAGTAATATAAATCATCCAGCGTCATGAAATGATGCTCTTAAATTACCACATTTATTCATTCGGAACACTTGGCTGATTTTCCGATAATACTGCCGGTCACAGGAAATACTAAATAAGTAGTTTTACCACTTCACTTGAAACAATGAAACATTAGAAATAGTGTATATTATAATGCAAATTAAACAATTTTATCTCAAAACTCAAAAGTAACGATATATGAGACAAGCGAAGAAGGGGAAACATGGCAGTAGACGGTCGTAAAATAAGACAATCTTTGTATGAAGGTTCGGACATAGAACATGATTTCCGATGTTCCCCTTGTAGTAAAGGTGGGAAGAATGAAGCCGCTATCAAGCACTGTGTGGAATGTGATGAAAATCTGTGTCAAAGTTGTATGGATGATCACAATAAATTTTCATCCATGACAGGCCATCAGTTACTAGATACAGTGAAACAACCGAGCGGGCGACAGCAGGAACTACCAAGTCAGAGATGTGAGAAACATGGAGGAAAATCGATAGATGTCTACTGTCCTGGTCATGATACAGTATGCTGCTCGAGGTGCATATCCGTTGAACATAGGTAGGAAATTTAACTTAACTTTCGATGACCGACAGATATAACGTTAAGGAAATATGAGTATCATTCTTTCTTCAATCCAAATTAGTAGGAAACAAGTTTTATCCGAATGAGTTATTAAAACACTTAGACGTATTGAGACAAAGCTAGGGGAATAGTTTTGCCAAGGATACTTCTGACTTTTTGTACTGACCAAATGTTACATCATCCAAAGCTAGTGTGGGGACATGGCCGGATGGTTAACTAGCTAGACTATTAATCTAAGGAACTTTTGTCGCGTCGGTTTAGACCCTGTCAGGGGCATTCCGTTGTTTCCTTAAGCGAGAAACTTGACGTTAATTTGCTCAGTACTGGTTGGTTCAATAAGATTAGGCTTCACAAACAATAAACTAAATTTATTTCTGTATAACCTAAAAATTAAATCGTTTATTTCGAATCATTTGGTTTGCTTCTTACTTTGTCCGGGGAGAAGATACCTGTTACTATGAGATAATTCTGGAATTCGAGTCCTGGTTGAAGCAGTTGAAAATTATCAAATGTCTTTTTGTATTATTATTATTATTATTATTATTATTATTATTATTATTATTAACTTTTTTGCAGTGGCTGTAAAGGAATAATATTCATACCAGACATCGCGTGTAAGACTGACACCACTCAGAAACTAAAGCTGCTTGAAACTGAAATAAACACTCTTCAGGCCCGCTTTCATGCCTTCAAACAAAACAAGCAAGAAGAACTGGGAAATGTTAAGAAAGAAAAGGGTAAATTGATTGAAGAAATAAAATCAGAACGAAAGAAAATCAACGACCGTTTGGATAAGATGGAAAAAGAACTTCTTCAAGAAGCAGATGCCATCTTTCAGATAAAACTGCAACATATAGAGTCAAACTTGAAAGACGTTGGTGCAAGGATCGCTGTACTACAAGAAAGTTTACAGAAGATAAATGCTGCTAAACATGAAAACGAATCGGAGAGATATGTACAGATAAAGCGCGTCAACGAGGAAAGAAAAACTGCAAGCGATTGTTTAAAAGACTTTGAAAGGCCAAGTAAAACAGACAAATTACGGTTCGATCCATATCAGACTGATTCGGAATGCAACACTATTGGAAGCATACTCCATCTTCCAGCCATTGAAGTCGAAAAATGTTTTGGTGAATTTAATGTTAAGGTAGCAGATGACTGGTTTAGATGCGATATAACTGACATGTGTATGTGCAAAGACGGTTGTATAGTCATGGTGGATTCCAACAACAAGCGGATCAAGAAAATGAACAATTCCTTCCAGGTCATTTCTTCGCTGAAAATCTCTAGCACTCCTAGTTGTATTTGTGAGATAAACTCGTCAATATTGGCGATTACTCTGTGGAAAGGGAGAGTTAAGTTTATCTCCAATGAAGATCCAATGAAGGTCACACACTCGTTCAAACTCGGTTTAGGATGCCGAGGTATTGGATATAATGACGGGATGTTATATGTTTGCTGTGGCGGTTGGAAACAAAGCCCTGACTTTGAAGGCGATGGTCGTATAAAAGTATTTTCCATGTCTGGAGTACTTCAATATGAATTATCTTATCAAGGTGAAATTGAATGGCCTCGACGTTTGTCATTTTCAAGCTCTTCAAAGCGTTTCTTTGTGATTGACGGGTATCAAGGTATCATTCATATAGATAAAAACCGAAGCATAACAAAAGCTTATGTAGATAACAAAGCTGGCCCCTGTTGTATATGTAAGATAAACAAGAATCTGTTCTGTGTTGCTCATGAGTCAGGAAATCTACTTTTGATGTCACATGACGGGAAGGATCAGGTAGAACTACTGATCAAACACGCTCGTAAAGCAAAGCCTTCTAGTATGTGTTTCGATAACAAAACATCACGGCTTGTAGTCTGCCATATGGGAAGTAACAAAGTTTTCGTTTATGCTTTAAAAGTAACTGATTGATTTATTTAAATGGACATACCGGTACATCTTGTGATTAAATCTGATAGAACTACCGCTTGTGAAATGAGGCAGATGTGTGTCTCTGAATAAAGTGAAAAGAAGATTACTTTAACATTGTGTCACAAAGTATATATTAAATAGCATGTAATATAATATTTCTGGACGATATATTGCAGCGTAAGAATTATGTTATATACACATTACTTGTTTTCATTAAAATTCAAAGGCATATTTATTTGATGACTTCAAAAGAATCCTGCAACTACATGTATATTAAAAATATTAGTAATGCAGCATAACAAATAACAATGAAAGTTTTAAAGTACATTAATTGAAATTTCATTCAAATGGTTGATTTTCACTATTTACGGCGTTTGAAATAATAAATACGTCAAAGATAAGCAAACATGTAGGAAAACGACCGATTTTCACTATTTGTGGTGTTTTAATTATTACATCAAATATAATTATACATGTAGGAAAATGCATGTACATATGAAACACAGCTAAATTTACTTCAAAATAAAATCATTACATTGTGTCACACATAATATTCTGTTTGTGGATAGCTGTTGAGCTGTATATGGAACAGACCTATGCAGTGACATAAAAACTGATAGCTCAATATCGAAGTATATTAAAGGAGGAAACTGAACAATCTATGGATTCATTAATTGTTTTTTCTTTCTTTCATTTTGATTGATTGATTATTTGTTTGTTTGTTTGTTTATTTTTACAAAACAAACTGTGCATTCACAATTAATTTTAAACATATGAATGATATTTGCCAATAACTGAAATGATATTTCTACTCGATTTTTATTGGAGAAAACTTTAAGTTCATTTTCAACTTTACTTGGATCCCACCAACACTGGGTTGAGGGACATAAACTTAAACCACTAGACCACATAGCATTTCGAACACCTCTTCGATCACCAAATATCGTCTCGAATACAACGGTAATTCCAACACGTGACTTTCGATGTAAACATATCTAGTGGTTATATCTTTGATATACTCATTGGTGAAATTCGGTAAAAAAAGAAAAACAAAAAAAAACATTTATAATTAAAAATGATTTCTGACAATCAGTATATGAAAGGACAGAAAAATTGTGATAGGTCTACATTGTATATTAAACGAGATCGTAAAGTTAACGTATTCATATCTACCAGTTGTATAGCAAGGGACTGTACACATTTAGTTAATATATAGATATTTGTTTTCTTTTAATCTTATTTAATTTATCAGAAGTAAATTTGTAAACATAAAGAAATGTGCTTATTTATTTATTTGAAATTATTGCATTATTATATAGAGTTTACATCGTTTACATTTATTTTGAATTGATATCAAGACATTATAGTTATGATTATGGTCATATTAGTTCCTTTTATTTAATATATTTTCTTGTTTGGTTGCTCCACTTTTCCAAAATGAATACTGTATAGTCGCCCTTAAGATATATTGCTTGCTTTTTAGATTTGTCTCTTGTCGTCTACGGGGCTTTTCTCTATCTAAATTATTTTTTAATTATTATAAATTCCGCCAAAAGTTTTTTTCCTTGTTTAGGGCTCATACATTTGTCTTTCTTTTTGAGAACCGCCTGCCGCTTTTTTAAATGTCACTTACGTGTTGATCACATTAAAGATTACATGATCATCGCCGTATGCATGCACGTCTGTGTTTCTAAAATCAAAACTTCATCATTTATATATTTGTATACTGAATTCTGCATGAGCCAACGATTAGGGTCGTGGACGGTAGTTTGACATGGTTTGTGCAATTACTTGTTTTAAACTCCTTGTGCATATTTTGTGTTTTTAAATAATGTTCATTCTTTATGTGTACACCATATGCCTGAACGTTTTGCAAATAAATATTAGTTCCTCGCTACAAACATATTCTTTTTATATCAACCTATCCATCCATTAAATTTATATTTCCGACCAAAAACCTATATCTATGTGCAGGTATCATACCATCGTGATCAAATAAGAATGAAGACTATGGTGCCCAGCACATGTAGATATATTTGGCAAAGGCCGGGCTGAACCCCCACAATGTAACAGGGTCAATTTCACTCTCACTCACTGACTTGTATTCTATCATGATAAATAAAACATATACTTCTCAACTTTTCTCAAACACCAAATGTTTTAGAGTAAATATTTTGTGCCGTCTATACAAGTTGGAAGATTCACATAACTAACAGTGTCTATCTGGGTATTTATATTATCTATATTCAGAGAGCAATGCACCACTTGCCCCTTCACGTTGTTGGTCTGAATTCCAACAGTGGATTCTTTCATGACAATAAACTATTCAGCTAGCTGACGGAACGTCAGTGGTTCTACTCAGTTGTCCGTTCGTGCCTGAATTAAAAAAAAAACAACAAGGGCATCTGAGATCTTCCTCCTACAGTAAAGCTGGAAACTCGCCATATGATAAATACTGTGTTGGTGGGTTCCACAGTCGTCCTAGAGTCTATTGACATTAGTGACCGCTTAAAATGTTTAATATTTTACTGTTGCCTAAGTAATAAATATGAAAACAATTATTATTGAATGTATTAATTCATATGCAATATAGCCCATATACTGAGTTGCAAAAGGAAGCGTGCACTTGATCACAGGGGAATTTTGTATAATTACCAGTACCTAAGAAAAATACTGGGATATTTAGGTTCAAAATTTGCAGAAATATATTAACTACACGATCGTTACATTTAATTGAAATTTGAGTATTATGTGTAAACAGCTGAGTGATGAAAAATAAAAGTTGCAGAATTGTGCCTTTTTGTAAAATAAATGCGTTTTTGCCTGTGTATACTTCAATTATTTAATGGAACACCATTTAAACCCAAGTCAATATGGCGGAAAGTCAGATCGATGCAGTCTCAAACAGTTTCGTTTATGAATGCAAAAGATATATCTACTGAAAAATGATCACACAACGAGCAAATAAACATTAAACGCACAATTTTAAAACTTTACCTTCTCGCTTTTCCAGAATCTACATGTGACAAAACTTCTGGTAGTAATCAAATTTTAACAACAAGAGGGTCATGATGGCCCTGAAGTCGCTCACCTGTATATAGGCCCCCGGAGCGGGGCCAGTTTAAATCCCAGGGCTTTTATTTGAACAAACTTGGTAGACAGCCATTAGAAAATTTTTCATGCTAAACATCTAAGGCCTAGCTGGTCAAGTTTTTTCTTTACACATATAGTTAAAAACAATGACACACCTGGGGCAGGGCCAGTTTTGACCCAGGGGCTTTTATTTGAACAATCTTTGTAGACACTTACTAGAAAATGTTTCATGCTTAATATCTAAACTCTAGCTATTCGGGTTATTTCAAAGAAGATTTTTAAGTTTTTGCTATTATACACATATAAGGAAAATCAAGGTCCCCCGGGGCGGGGCCAATTTTGACCCCAGGGCTTTCATTTGAACAAAATTTGTAGACACTCACTAGAAGATGCTTCATGCTTAATATCTAAACTCTAGCTATTTGAGTTTTTTCAAAGAAGATTTTTTAAGTTTTTGTTATACAATTATAAGGAAAATAAATGACCCCCGAGGCGGGGCCAATTTTGACCCCAGGGCTTTTATAAGAACAAACTTGGTAGACACTCACTAGAAGATGTCTCATGCTTAGTATCTAAACTCTAGCTATTTGGTTTTTTTTTTCAAAGAAGATTTTTTAAGTTTTTGCTATACACATATAAGGAAAATCAATGACCCCCGGGGCGGGGCCAATTTTGACCCCAGGGCTCTTATTTGAACAAACTTGGTAGACATCCATTAGAACATGTTTCATGCTAAATATCTTAGCTCTAGCTCTTTGGGTTCTTTAAAAGAAGATTTTTTAAGTTTACTATATGCATATAGGAATAAAATGACCCCCTGGGGCGGGGCCAATTTTGATCTCAGGGCTTTTATTTGAACAAACTTGGTAGACACCCATTAGAGAATGTTTCATGCTAAATATCCTAGCTCTAGCTCTTTGGGTTCTTTGAAAGAAGATTTTTTTAAGTCTTTACTATATGCATATAGGGAAAATCAATGACCCCCTGGGGCGGGGTCAATTTTGACCCCAGGGCTTTTATAAGAACAAACTTTGTAGACACTCACTAGAAGATGTTTCATGCCAAATATCTTAGCTCTAGCTCTTTGGTTTTTTTAGAAGAAGATATTTAAAGTTTTTTTCTTTTGGTTGCCATGGCAACCAGAGTTCTGCATTGAATTAAATTCTTTGAACAATTTTCAAAGGTGACCACCAAAGGAACATTCCTGTGAAGTTTGGATGAAATTGGCCTAGTGGTTTATGAGAAGATGTCATTTAAAGTAAAAGTTTACGGACGCCGGACGGACGGACGCCGGACGAAAAGCGATCACAAAAACTCACCTTGTCACTTTGTGACAGGTGAGCTAATAATTAAATCCATTGTATGCTCAAATTAAGTAATTTTTGCTCTTGTATGAATGTAACCAAGTGCACAATCCCCTTTACAAATGAGTTAATCATAAGAAGCAAACTGTACTACCCACTGATAATACAGTACGGTAAATGTATATGAATATCGACCATGCGTGTGTTTACGTAGCAGCTCGAACAAGGAAGTTATAAAACTTAATTTTAAAATGGCCGTAGACGGGCGTAAATTTAACCCAACTTTGTATCATGGATCAGACATAGAACATGATTTTCCGTGTTTACCTTGTACTAAAGAAGGGAAGAATGTAGCCGCTATCAAACACTGTGTGGAATGTGATGAAAACCTTTGTCATAAATGTGTGGGTGATCACAATAAATTTTCAGCAATGAGAGGTCATCAGTTACTTGACACAGTGAAACAACCGAGTGGGAAAAAGCAAGAATTACCAAGTCAAAAATGTGAAAAACATGGAGGAAAATTGATAGATGTATACTGCCCTGGTCATGATAAGGTTGGCTGCTCAACTTGTATGACTGTTGAACACAGGTAGGTAAATTTAACTCTAGTTTCGGTTCAATAACCAACTAATGTTGTTTCTTTAGAGATATCATTCGAAATTCTGTTGAAATTAATTATAATTATTAAAAAAAGAAATATAACAAACACATGTCAGTGATTCATTACATTTTAAAGCATTTTAGTTTATCCTCTTAATATTTTATCATATCTTATTTATATCATATCATATAAAAGTGTACAGTAGAGCCCGTGTAACATAAAATTTATGCCCTTTGATTTTTGACTTGTTTTCTAATCCTACTCAGCATTTCTATTAATGCATGTATCAAGTTACCAGTTAATTACTGATCAGGGGAAAAACCGTTGCTGATACACTTCACTTCTCGAAAGCGGTTACTTCCCATGCGCAGTAAGCAATGAATTGTAAAGAACGCAGAATGAAATATAACACGGCAGATTTAAAGATAACACGATTTTTGTTAATCCTTTCTAATAGGGGTAGATGGGTTTTTAATAAGTGTGTTATCTTTTAAACATTTAATAACAGTAGAAGGAAATCACTCCCGTTGATAACAAAAACAAATATACATTATCCTGCATCAATGTAATATTATAGTTCACTACATAAGTACCATTATAAAGCTGTTTCGATGTACATGTATTTTAAATTGTTATGAGCTCCTTGACGTTTTGAATTAAATTTTTGTATCAATATTTCAAAGGTCTGAAAGAAATACAGATTTATTACCGTTTCATGTGTATGACCATATATAGGCATGCTTGACAATCTTATTTTGACCACTTATCAATCGTTAAGAATTACCTTTCTTGCATATCAGACTGGCGTTTCCGTTAGTTTTACCCATGCCGGAAATTTCATCTGGCATGGGGGGTTCCAGATGAGTCGCGTGCTGTACAATGGCACGATATAGTCTGGATTACCTGCCCTTTTCTCTGCGTTCCTCTGCGTTCTAAAATTTATAGTACGACGGGAACCAGACTATGGCACGATAAAGATGACGTCATTTTACCGTTATGAATGATTTTGTAATTCATACGCTGTTGAATGAAAGTAGTTACGGTTGTAATGATATAAATTTTCATTGAAAATAAAGATAAAGAATTTAAAATATAATGGAAAATGGTAGAATATGCAAGAAAAAATATCTGACATATGTTTGCGGTTCGGATCGGAATATCCGTCCCTCGGTCACCCGCCCATGGGCGGTAACTCGGCAAGCCTCGTTACCGCCCAATGGGCGGGTCACCTCGGGACGGATATTCCGATCCGAACCGCAAAATATGACAGATATTATTAGTATATATTTGCATGACCAGTTTGCGACGGGTGCCATTTTTTCACACATCGGTGGTTCTTAAAAGAAGTGAAGGGATCAAATCAGTTCAAAAATGACACATGGGCTCAATTTTCAACGGGTCCAAATTTAATGTTACACTCGCACATTCTTGTAAGTAACCCAATATAAAAGGACTGTCACAGGGATAACCCTTTTGTGTTTTTTTTTTGAATATGCCTACATTTCTAAATTACAGACATGGATGTATGTATTTAGAAAATTTTAAAAACAAAAATAAAAAAAGATTGTGTTTAACAAAGACTTAATGCGTGGACTCTTTTATTAATAAACTTTAATCTAAGTATAATGAAATATTTAACAAGTTATGACGGAATTATAATTGTTGATCCGGTCTTTCTCCGGCGCATGCATAGATTATACCATGATTACAAAAGATACTTGCGTGGGGCGGACAATTTATTGGTTACTCATTGTAGGATGTGCGGGCTCTTCCAATAAATGGGTTCACCTTTTTCGGTGTTGCAGTATGTTACAGTCCTTGGTCAAACAAACAAAAAGGATTATTTTTTCTTTCTGCCTGGTGGCCAAGCAATGACAATGAGAATCTGTACCATGTTTAAGCATTGTAAATATACAAACTGGGATACAAGTTTCATAAAACTTCGACAGCATGTTTTCATCTTTTCACAAATATCTTTTAATTCCATAAAACTCAAATATCTTATAATATAAATGAAAGTTATGTTCAATAGAAAAACATTTTGGATAAGATAATTCTCTACCAACCTAAACTACCAAAAAGACTCATAAGGGACACGGGAGAGGATAAAAACAACTTAATATATTTCAACTTTACAGACATAGCACTGAAACAACGTTTTTACTTGTTGAGATAATAAATAAGAATACATGTTAATATTAAACTTTAAATAGTTTTACAAGTAAAACAGAAGGAAAATATGTGATAACACAGACAAGGAGTAATGATTAAACATTTAAATTACTCGATTTATTGAGTCCTATAACACTATACCAATTCAGTTATTTGTCATCATTTATCATGATTAATGACATGAACCAGTTAAATTCATGACACATATTATCCGAATCAACAGTCCGCTTGCTTATCCCAATAGAGAGAGCATCTGATTAGTAATCCAGGGCGCGCTGGTGCAATTCTCAGACGGGGCGTATTTTGTCTTGACAATTTATCTCAGAGTCTAACAATCATATTTTTCAGAAATCATTTGGTGTAAATATGGGTCACTATCAGAGATATTGGTCAAAACCGGTTAATCAGGAACGCCGGTTAGGTGGAACGACCGCACAGATATGACAATATAGTGTTAAAATCGGCGTAAAATCTACAAAAACAATTAAACACAAATCCGCAGTGTCATGTTATGATATTGTATTTTGTAACACAAGCTTAGGTTGGATATTTAGAAAACATGTACGTGATGTACTGTATTATACGAATACATTACATAAAGATCACAACAAAATCCATTGTTTCTCAGCGCGTGTGAATAACTGGATGTTTCTAATGTAAGAAACCAATAGTAACTTCTCGGCAATTTTCGGCAAGTTTTGGATAAGGACCTCGTATATAAATTGTTAGTTTCGGATAAGGACCTTAGACAAAAATGTTAAGAACGTATACAGTATTTCTGTCTAACCTACGCGAATAAACCTAACCTGACACAAACAGTTATTTAATGCTGGGAGTTGTTGACTTAGTTTATTCCAATATGTCGAGTAAAAATCTACATAAATTAGGTAAAAAGATTAATTTACTATTAAATTAAATATTACATTATATCCTTATCAATTATCATGGTTGTTGAAACAAAAAGTACAAAATGTCTAACGGTTGACATTCATTTATATTTGTTCATAATTCTACATCAGTGGCCATTCTTCAATTGATTATGATTGTAAGATATACTTTAAAAACCGAAATAAACTTTTTTTTTTTTCCTTTTTTAGTTATCTTTTTTAAAAGAGGGGGAAAAACTTCTGAAAAAATGCCCACCTTGTAGAACTTTTTTTGCCGTTTTAAAGGTTTTAGAATATTATGAAATAATTTTAAAAGATTTTCCCGGGTTGTGTGAGAAACTTTAAGAAAAAAAAGAAAAAAAAACCCAAATTTTTTAAAGGGCCGGATTTTTTTTAAAGAAAAAACACAGTATTTTAAAAATTTTTTAAAATTTCGCGGAACACACCTTTTTAAGTTGACGTCACGCATGAAAGGGCTGTATGAACGGTGAAAAAACCAAGTACACGAAATTTTAAAAATCATCGTCTTTGGTTTGGAAACCCAATTTAAAATTTTTTAAATGAAATGATAATATAAAAATGAAATTTTCAAAAAAAAAAGTATCAATCTTAGAAGGTATAATAAATACCATCAATCAGTTCGGCAAAGTGATTTGGGTCATAGAAGCTTGTATTGTCAGTGGTTTATTATAAATCTGGTTAAATAAACTCAATTTTTGAATGGTAAGCATCAAACTGTAGAATATACAAAGTATTTATTAGCATAGATACGAATGTCATGAATAACTTTGAAAACGACATTGTTTATATCATTGCAGAAGCTGTAAAGACATTACCTTCATACCAGACTTAGCGTGTAAGACTGACACCACTCAGGCACTAAAGCTCCTCGAAACCGACATAAACACACTTGAATCCCGCTTCATGGCGTTAAAACAAAAGAAAGTGAAGGAACTAGATAATGCAAAGAAAGAAAAAAGGCAATTGATTCAAGAAATAAAATCAGAAAACGAAAGAAATATTAACGACCGTCTAGACAAATGGGGAAATTTGGAACTTCTTCAAGAAGTGGATGCAACATTTCACGTTTTGAAACTGCATGCAATAGAGTCAAAAACTGAAGAAGTTGATGCCACGGATCGTTTTTACTACAAGACCGGTCTACAATTAGAAGGTAAATGCTGCCAACATGAAAAAAATCAAGAGGAAATATGTTACAAATAAAGAGAATTATGGAGAAATATAAAAAACAAGACAACTGTTTAAAGGAATTTGAAGGGTCAAGCAAAACTGGCACATTACGGTTTGATCCATACCGACAGAGGACTGATTTGGAATGCAATACTATTGGAAGCATACTTCATCTTCCGGCCATTGAATTAGGAAAATGTACTGAATTTAATGTACGGATAGCAGATGACAAAGAGAAATAGCGATATAATTGACATGTGTATGTGTGAAGATGGATGCATTGTTATGACTGATTACAAAAACAAGAGGATCAAAAAATGAATGAATCATTTAAGGTCGTATCTTCACTGAATGTTGCTGACAGTCCCTATGGCATTTGTCAAGTTGGAACGTCATTGCTTGCCGTAACTTTGATTAATGATAGAAAAGTCCAGTTTTATCTCTCAAAAAGAGACAATGGAGTTACAGCAGTCATTCGGAGTAGGTGATAGATGTCGTTGTATTGCTTACAATGACGGGATGATCTATGTTTGTTGTGGCGGATTAGAGAAACGTAAAGAAGGTGTTGGTCATCTTGAGGTATATTCATTTACAGGAACATTGCTTAAATCATACTATGGTGAGATTAAACATCCTTTAAGTGTAGCATTTCTACGCTCTTTCAAGTGGAGAATGTTTGGTGACTGACAGGGTATAAAGGTATTCCTTCTCAATTGACAAAACGGGAAGGCATGACAAACATCTAATGTAGATAACGAAGTATTTCTGATGCTGAAGGTATCTGTAAGATAAACAAGAGGCCTGTTTTCTGTTTTGCTTTTTATTTATCACACAATGTTCTTTTGATGTCACAAAGACGGAAAGGATCGAGTAGAACTATTGAGAGGAAATAATGGTTTAACAAAAGCCTTTTTACGGTATATTTGTTTGCGTTTTACAAAACATCAAGGTCTTATTATCTCCTGTGATAATTTGTTGACAAAATTAATGGTTTATTATACTTTAAAAATAACTGATTGATTTGTCCAAAAAGGAAAAAAGCTTTGTGATATTAGCGTGTTTCAGTGTTGTCTCGTTGAAATTTGATAGATCACCGTTTGTGAAATGAGGAAGATATGTTGTCACTGAAAAGATTTCAACTGGTTTAAAAAAATTGGGAATGTTTAACACTATGCTGGCATAAATATAGTCAATGATAAGATCAATATTAATTTCAATTATATGTTCCGGTGCTTTTTTGCAGCCGTTTGTATATGGCTAAAAATCGAATTCATTTTTTTTTAATTTAAGATTGTCCATGTAATTTAATAGATGGACTTCAAATGATTAATTATGAGCATAGAGACTAATCAATCGCATCATCTTCGTTTGTTTCCGACAAATTTCACACGAGGGGTTTTCCGATTGAACAGACTAACACAAGCATTATACACTATGTTGTATTCATCAAAAACATTATCTGATTTTTGGCCATTTTTGAATGGTTCTCACAAGTTTACTGGAACTTGATGAAATTAATTGTTGAAAAATCACTTTCTGTAAAACAGTTAACTGGTTTTGAGCTTTTGAATTTTGTGCTACATTTAACATAGACAATCTTAGAATTATTGTTGAAAAGGAAGTTATTATGCACTAATAAAGTAATATCTGTTTATAAAAAAGGTTTCGAACTTAGTCTAATAAAATATTAACTTAATAAATATAAATGTAGAAGGAAATAAAAGCCTTAATGACTTTTAAAAGTTAAATAAAATACAATTAGCAATTTAACGCAATACTACTTGTTGCTAATTGATTTTTAAATTGTGAATATCATTTATAATTATGTATATTGTTAAACGGACTGTTTTTGTACGTTATATCTCTAGATTGATGTTTTTTGCACAAACAAATATACTTCATTTAACAGCTTGCACATATTGCCTTCAGTACCGTACCAGTATTATAACAAAACATCTAAGTTCTCTCGAAAATATTCTTAAAGTATGTGCAATAAAAAAACAATGTCAAAGGCCTCCTCCAAGCGGGAACCATGCTCGCTTTTTTTCTTTCTTCTTAAGTCAAACACATAGGAGGAAAATATTGTAAGTAAAGAATTCTGTTTTGAAAACATAACTTTTCTTGTCACAACATATAATTCAAATTTTAATTTGAGATATACAGTGCAAGGTCATTCACAGATCAAGGTCAAACTTAAATTATTCAACATGTCAGTGTGGTCGTATTTTGTTGTTGTACCATTTATGAATTCAGACAATGATTCAAATCTCTCATGATATATAATAATGAAGAACTTGTTTTGCCTTATTGTTGTCGCAAATGTAACATATTATATAGGTATTTCTTTAAGATTGTAAAAAGACATATTTTCTATATCTTATGTTAAATTTCCTGTAAAAAATGATTTTATTTTCAACATAATAACTTTATGTCTTGATTATCATTAAAAAAGAATACCATGTTAATTGCTATTTTTTCCATTTTTCAAATTCACAATGATTTTCTATATAAATGTGCACATAAATATATTACTTTCTTATTATGAATACTAGTAATTTTTTTTATAATTTTAATTTTGACTTACATGAAAATAAAAATTTTTAAAAAATAAAAATGGGAACAAAAAACTGGTTTTAGGCTATTCAAAATTGACGATTCAAGTTAAAGTTTTTACTTTTCCGAGAAAAATGAATAGACTTAGCTTTAGTATGTATCAACTAGTATGTTTGTTTTTTAAATTGAAAGAAGTTCCGATTTGTTTTGAATGATTTGTGTATGTTTTCTTTTTATTGTTTTCCCTTATGAAATACGACTTTTTTGAGGAAACGCATTGTATAAGGAAAGGTGATGTGTAAATACAGCTTTTGCCTTTTGTCAAAATTATTTTAAATGCATTAATTACATATACGAAAATCATTTCAATATTATTGATTAATTATCTTATTTCTTTTTTATAAATTTGGAAAAATATATAATGTTTAATGAAATTTTGTTTTGATAGAATTACTTTAGATTATCAACAGAATTCATTTTACAACTATTGTATAAAAATGTCATAGTGTTCTACCGAATGAAATATTATCACCTTTAAATATTAATACTTAAAGGCTTGATTAAGGCAGATTATCTTTTTCCTAGTCTTTTTATACAACAACCCTTACATGATTATGTAGTGACATTTATTGCTTATATAGTCTTAATTATTATCACTATGAATTTTCAATTTATATTGTTGATTTTCTTACTTAAATAAGTCCTACATTGAATTTCGAACGAATGACATCACGTCTTAATTACAACTTTAAAACTAGAGACACCAAGAACATTAAAACTTAACTTAGAGAATTCAGGTGCTGGCTTTTATAAAAATATATGTGGACAATTATTTAGTTTGTGAAATATCATTATTCTATCAAAGTGAAAATAAAGGAAAGAAATTAACACTGGTTTCTCTGTTTTGTAATATACAATCATTTACAAACAGAATACTGGATGTAACTGGTTAAACAAGAAGAACCTATACGCCAGTATCCCACTCAGCAACTGAGGGTTGCCCATATAGGGCGCTTAGTGCGCAAGCCAGTCTAATTTCTAATTTAATATACAACCCCAAACTGCAGGCTCTGTCGGTGATCCTCTGTTACACATTACTTACAAAGTTAAACCCAATTATAATGCATGGCAAAAAAAATGTAAATTTACAATAATTTTACCTCCAGAGTTAAGGTCATTATGAGTCAAGGTCATAGTGATTTTAATTTTGTTTAAGACATTGTCTTCAAGGTTGTTGTTCTCCAGTATCTTGTAATCCATTCATGAATTAAAGTTGTAGCCAATTATTACACAATTGAGCAAAATTCATTAATTTTACCTTCAAGGTCAACGTCATCGATGAAAGAAGGTCAAAACCAATCTGGTCTGTCCAAAAGATTATTAAGTCCAAATTTAAAGCCAATCTTAAGAACAATAATTATAGCAAATAATAAGAAAAATCAACATACCAAATGATACCTACACAAGAAATTTTCCCTGCGAAATGTATTCGTCAAATAACAAAGGCTGTAAAAGAAAACTTGTACAAAATTTTGTTTGTAGAACAAATGACCATGACCCAATCGATCAATAACCCCACCTATTTTAAAAAGCAAAATCCTTGACCTTAAATAAGGTGACCCAAAGCTCCAAGTAAGTTTAGAAGACCATCGTATTTACACACACACTAAATATGAAATAAAACCTTAAATAGATAAATACTGTATAACTTTATGCGTAAAAACCTATTTTTAGCACCGGTAACCTTGACCTTTACTGTGTCAAGTGCTCCTTAGCTCCACTAAATCTTAAACTTAGAGGATCACTGCAAATACGAAAGACATGAGTTAATGAATAAAGACTGTATGTGAGAAGAGAAGAATGTATTTAAACATTGGTGACCTTGATCTCAATGATCCTCAAACTCAATACAAAGGTATATTCCTTCCAAATATGGGAGGCATCAGTTATTAAATAAATGCTGTATGACTAAAAGTGTAGAAATCTTCTTTTTATCATTTGTGACCTTGGTATGTATTGGATTATCCGAAGTATATACCAAATATGTAAGATATACAAGGTAGACAAATAAATGAAGTTACAATGAGAATATGTAGGTAATCACGACAGAACTGCAGAGGTACTGGACGGACGAAGCGGGGACTATAATAATTCTCCCGGAATTTTGTAGGGGTATAAAAATCTATTACAAAGGGAAACCCATCTTTTAAAGATATGTTTATTCCTCTTTTTCTCTGGTTTAAAAAGTATCATATAAAATTTTCACTTAAAAATTAAAGCTTGTAGAATTGCTTTAGCAACCAAAACTGCTTTATTTCTCATGAGAGCTATTGAGCAAGGGCGTAAATGACAAACTTTTGTGTCAAGTCCGGATTCATGATAAATTTCGTATGTGGCCTTCTAAGATGACCTCATTTGTCTTCAGTCCCCTGTGCATTAATTCAGGTACTATATGGTATCAGAGCAGAAGCACACAAAGCCCCTCCCCCCCCCCACACACACACCCTGAAGCACCACTAAAATATGATATCATAGACTTGTAATAAAGATAAGAATAATATGATAAAATACAGGTATAGTATTGTGAGAAATATGACCATAATAGCTACACAATGCCCCCCCCCCCCCCCCCCAAGCACCACTAAAACATGATATATCATAGACTTGTAATACAGATAAGAATAATATAATAAAATACAGGTATAGCTCAGTTATATGACCACAATAGCTGAATGCATTTACTCAATAACCTGTTGCAACTGAAAGCGAATAAGCCATTGTCATCAGTAAAGCTAGAGCCAAAGCAGTCTGATCTGACTCTATAGTTTAGTTTAAACATATCTATTATTGGTCGATTTTAGCTTGATTACGAAACAAATTCTTGCAACTCATAACCATCACTTTTTTGACCGGAGAAGGGCTCGAACCCATGATTCCTGGGTTGAGAGGCAACCATTTGTTCACCACTCCCCTTCGGCTACATACTGTTGGTAGCGCAGTTTTTTGTAATCTGTTGTTAACATATACTGTTCCGAATTCAAATGCAAGGCAAATCCATTATACTATCTCAGCAGATTATGTTAAACAAGAGTAACATTGACGCAAAATTCGCCCGTCCAGAGATGTTGCATTAT